AGTAATTAAGATAGTTGAGAAAAAGAAACCGAAAAGTCAAGACAAGATTCCGATGAAACAGAAGTTGAAAACTTGGTCATTAATCAGTTATAGGAAAAAACTGATAAAAAACTTCCGTTGTTCATTTGTCTGCAAAAGAAATTTTTTTTGATATTTAAAAAGTATTTTGTTCTTTTTCTAACTCTAACGCCCTATTTCATTTGGGGGACGTTTTATGCAGCTCCTGTTGAGTCAGGCAATGATAAAAAGGCTCCCATTATTTGAAATTTAATGCCAAAACAAATCAAAAGTGAAAAAATGTGCCTAGGTTGGTTTTTAATCCACAAAAAAAAATTAAAATTTTAATAAACCTTCTCTTACAGACATTTTTTTTGAAATATGTGTTACTTGTGGTATCTATGCGTGCATAATTATGAGGGGGTTTGAGATTTTGCGAGTTGGTTGTTGATTGTAATAGCGGTGTTCTGTTCTAGAAAAATTTCGATGCCCAGATAATTTTGCGACGCAATAACTCAAATAAAACTTTCCCTCGTATCCGAAAAATTTCATAATAAAACGTATTCTAAATTACTAGTTGCCTATTAAACTATTGGATTTCTCAATAAAAAAAATTTCATCATAGAAATCCCAAGAAAGGAAAAAAGCTGTTTTCATACAGTTTTTTACTGTGGAACTGCAAGGAAGAGGACCATAGATATTTTTTGTGAGCCCGGATTAGTTCTCATAAGATCCGAGTAAAACAACAAAATCCAATTTGATTCTTTTTTTTTGTGCCTGTGATCTTTTCTGCAATAAAAAACTGTCTGTGCTTGTTTCGTACCTAAAGCTTCTATTTAAAGCACTCATTGTTCCTAGCCTTAGTTGTTATAAAAAACTCTCATCAGACAATTTCAAAACCCTTGCTACCCAAAGGCCCGCCCGTCGATACCAAAAATTTAAAAAAAATTCAGGACATAACGAAAGTTCAAAGCGGTAAAAATTAGACACTTGCTGAATTTTTTTTGTGCCTGCCCCCTCGCACCCTTTAAATTGTGCCAACAGTTTTATGAGTTTTTTAAAATTTTCCCAAAAAAAGAAAAAAACCTAGTTTTATTCCGCGCTAAAAAATACCTAATTATTAGAGTAAAAAAATTTCACAGCCTAAATAAAAGCACAGCTCTCTACTAAAACCCTGCTTGCATCATGACTAAAAAAACCTAAAAATCTAGAAATTTTTGTTCCAAATAAAAAACGGCTGTATTTATAGGAAATGATGAATGCAAGATTAAACTAGAATTTTAACAACAAAATTGGTGAAAAACACACGCTTGATCAAGTTGATATTTTTTGGACGCGTTTCCTTAAAATAACCTTAATAGCACTTCAAAATTTTATAAAAGTTTTCTTACAAAAAAGTCTGCACGAGAAAACTTTTTGTCTTTGCACGAACTTTTTTTTCTAAACTTGGGAAAAAGAAGAGACAGGCCTTGAAGAAGAAGATGCCAAAAGTTGTAAACCCAAAGTCAGAACAAAAAAAAAGAAATTTTTTTTTTTGAGTTGTTTTTAAAACAGCACAAACAGTGTATAGAAAAAACTACACTTTGTTAATTCACGAACAGTAGATTTTTCTAAGAGTTGCACTGGATAACCTTGCATAAAGTTGGAGAGAAGAAGTAAACTGATTTATGGTCACCTGTTAAAGGTCAGGTAAAAATTATCTAATTTTTTGCTCATGTATAGCAAACAAGAGCTGATTTTTTTGACATGTTATCAGGAATGAGTTTTCTTAATGAAAAAAAAAAACAAAAAAACTTGTTTTTTTTAGCAGGTGAGTAACAATAAACCTGAAAAAAAAAGAACGTAAAAATTTGTTTTCTCTCTATTTTGTTTTCTCTCAAAAAGTTGCACAAACTTCAAGAAACAAAGCTATAACCGAATCAAAGTTAGGTGACTTTTTCTTTGTATATTTCATAATGAGAAAATTTCTTAAATTTCTGCAATAGCTTGTTGGTCGCAACCAATTTTTATTTGAACAAGCTTGCGTCTGAAATAAAAAACGTTTCATTTTTTTTGCTCTGAGGGAATGCAATTAAGATAAACTTTTGCTGAGGAACCGTTTGGCATTGAGCCATATCTGACTTTTGTTTTTGCAGCTAAAATGTGAAAACATAAAAGACACTTTTATGAGGAAGTCATGAGAAACACTTACTAGATTGTTACACTAGACAACTAAAATGTGTCCATTTTTTGCAAACATGCTCCAGGAGACTTTCAGATCAAAAGATTTTGAAATAATATTAAAATCTATTCATTTGAAAGTAGAAGTTCTTCTATTTGAGAATTTTTCAGCAAAACTCATTTTATAAGACTCTCTGAACAGTAGTGAACAGTTAATTGTAAAAATTAGACTTCTGTATCAACCTTCAATTTTCCTTAGATCACACCCAAAGCTATTTAACGCCTTACTAATCGGTTCTGTTTTCCCTATAGTAGTACCATATGCAGTTAGACACACCTTGCTGTCAAGAATCAGTTCTATTCTCATGTCAATAATCTAAAAGAGAAACAGCAAGATACTAAATTAGTGACTTGAGGTACTCTGCATGTTCCATCAAATGTTGCTAATCACGATTAAACAAACTGGTTTTTTTTATGATGAACAAACTGGAATTCTGTACATACCCACAAAATCCTTTTTTCGTTAGTTTCTGAAACAAAGTGGTAGATCGATTGTATCAAATGCAATTGTTAAATCAATCAAAACTTGCAAGTCCAACACATTTTTTGTATCAATTTGATGCCTCGAGCTGCTTGTTTTCGAAAATAAGTTGTCGTGGAGAAAAAAGTTATACTTAATTATGATTGCAATAAACATTTTGTAAAACATTTTTTCGAAACCTTACCCACTAGTTGGAATAAGACCTACTGCTAAAAACTCGGCAACCGGGGTTGTCAACTCAATCACTTTTGTGAAGAAAAAATAATTTAACCACCTAAAAAGAACCTTAGAGAAAACATTTTTCTTCTATGTTCTTAGTTAACAATTACAACTGAAAAAGAACGATTGTCGGTGCACACATGTTTTCATTTGATAAGAGATGCCATCTTGAACAAAGGAAGACTTGTATTGAGTAGGATAGAGATCGAAGGAAGATGGTTTATCCTCAATGGATTTTTTTATGTTCTCTCCAGCATAATAAATTGCCATTTTTCCCCTACTTTAACAAAAAAAATTAAGTCTTCAACTGAGAGTTTTGAGAACATTTTCTTTGTTTCCACATTACAATTTGTTGAAAACAGCAAAAACTTAGCATTTTTAAAAGTCTTAGAATTTTATTTGAAATCAATAATTTAATTGTAAAACTTGCTTTTTGATTTTTACTTTATGACATATAATTTCGTATTCATTTCAAAGTTCTCGGAAAGTTTTGAAATAGTTTTTTTTTCTTGTCTGATTTTGATACAGTTTTTTTGTTTTGTTTTTTATTAAGTTATTAATCTAAGTGCAATTTTCTCCTTATTTCTTATCATTGTTTATCAAAAACACTCAACAATATCTGACTAAAAATGTCTTTTGGTTGTTTAGTTTTTAACACGAAATTAATGGCTTTTTTGCGTTAACTTAATGATTGGGCAATTTTGATCAAAATCACTCAACAAAATTTAATTAAAGTATCCAGTTACATGTAAAAATGCTCAGTTACGCCTTTAACTATGGAGTATATTGTGTTCATCTTGCTAAAAACTTTCCAAAACAGCCCAAAACAAAAATAACTACCTTAATTCAGAAAACGTCCTTCTGAACAAAGAAATCTTCATCCACAAATTATAGAGCTAGGAATCTAGCATTTCAACGGGTTAACTTTAAAATTTCTTTAAAAAAAACTAATACGTATTTAAGCGTTGAGAAAACACTGAAAATGGACCATAATTCAGGTGAACATTCAATGATTGGTAATGCGATTTTTTGACAATAGTGATTGGCATATTAGCTTGCATACATTTATAAATGTTTTAAAGCCTTAAATGGTAGGCTAGCAAAAAGCCATTTATTATTAAAAAAAACTAATAATAACTAACCTTCAAATTCAGGAAAAACGAACCTCGCCCAACCTTGATGAAACGACTGGAAAATACAATTGCACCAACTAAATTTAATTTCTACCCAGAGTCTATTTTCGGACAAACTTGATAAATTTGATGTCTTTTTATTGTTCATTTATCTGCAAAAAAAAATTAGTTTGATCTTTGCATAATATTTGTGTTCTTTTTCTCAGGCCTCAGTGCAAACAAGTCATTTATATCAAAACTTGTCAGCCATTGAAAAATATATTTCTAAAATTGTTACGTCAGTGCCAGAACAAACTGAAGGTGAAGAAAAGTTGTACCTATGGTGGTTTTACAAGGGTGGTTGTTACTGGTATTTACGGAAA